TCCATCGTGTTCATGTTCTTCTTCGCCCTATAACTATAGTCCTGCTGGACACGTTATTACTGGTGACGTAAATATAGTTAATAATGAGGACCTTAGATCACTAATTTTAAAAGGTCCTAAATTTAGGGAACCCAGATCCTTCAACTGGCGTAAGAATTTCATAAATATTATGGATTCTGTAGAGGACTACGCCAGGCGATGGGCCAGACATGAAAAAGAAGACCTTGACACTTTGTCAGAATGGATTAAATGTATCAGATGTATGTTAAAATCGCGCATTAAAAGATTGAGAGGCAATATGAAAACCATCTATCCTTCTGTATTCAATAATCCAGAAGTGAAAAAAGAATTAGATAGATTACATGATCAGTACGTACTGGTCCCTGCTGACAAAGCAGGTAACAACATTGTCTTTGTTTGTAAGGCTCATTATATTAAATGTATTTTAGAGGAACTTGGATTTAATTCTACAAGTGGTAATCCAACTTATACTCATAGTTCCCTTTCTAAGGAAGAAATTCTTCAAAATCATATGTCAGTTTTGAATATTTTTAATATTCCAAACAACCAAAATGAATTCGAATTACCATATTTATATTGGATTCCGAAACTTCATAAAAATCCTTACAAACAAAGATACATAGCGGGTTCCAGTAAATGTTCAACCAAGCCTCTATCTTTACTCCTCACTAAGTTATTAACAGTGGTGAAGGAGAAACTTCAAGAGTACTGTGCAACAATATATTCGAGAAGTGGTGTAAATCAGATGTGGATACTTAAAAATTCCAAGGAACTTTTGGAAAATTTGAAATCACAAGATTTTACCAAAATCAACAGCTTAAAAACTTACGACTTTTCAACTTTATACACAACCATTCCCCACGATAAATTAAAGTCCAGGCTTTTTGATATCATTGACAGCTGCTTTTCCAATAAAAATGGAACTCGTAAATATACTTACCTTGTCATTGGTCATTTGCAAAATTATTTTGTTAAAAAACATTCTGATTGTACACACAAGTACTCTGAAGTTGACATTAAAAAGATGCTTGAGTTTCTGATTGACAATATCTATGTGGTTTTTGGAGACCAGGTCTTCCAACAATCTATTGGAATTCCCATGGGTACCAATTGCGCCCCGTTGTTAGCAGACCTTTTTTTGTATTCATATGAAGCAGAATTTGTCCAAAATCTTGTACGTGAAAAGAAGAAAACACTTGCTGTGGCGTTCAACTCGACATTTAAATATATCGACGACGTATTGTCAATTAACAATGGCTATTTTCATTCTTATGTCGATACGATATATCCTGGTGAACTTGAGATAAAAGATACCACAGAGTCTGACACATCTGTTTCATATTTGGATATTTTACTTGAAAAAGACGTTAATGGTAATCTAACAACCAAGCTTTATGATAAACGTGATGACTTTAACTTTTCAATCGTCAACTTCCCTTACTTATGCAGCAATATACCTTCATCACCTGCATACGGGGTTTATATCTCTCAGTTGATTCGATACGCAAGAGCATGCTCTACGTATGTACAATTTCTAAAACGAGGTAAATTATTGACAAATAAGTTGATGAAACAAGAATATCAGCAGTCTCGTTTAAAGTCATCATTTCGTAAGTTCTATGGTCGATACAATGACCTTGTCAGCAAATACAATTTATCATTGAGTCAAATGCTGACTGACGTTTTTCATACTAATTGTTAGGCCATTATTTACACACTGAATTGTCGACGGATTTTTCCGTTATTACTCGATCATGACAAGGAGCACACGGCGGGTGTGACCGGTGGGCAGGGGATGCTCACTCCTCCATGGCACCTGATCCCACCTCTGATGTTTGGAAGTCCGTGTTTGCTCTGCTCCTATTTTGTATTGTACGAGGGCCGTTCAAAAATTACGTGGACTTGTTGGACAGAAAATATATTTGACGACATAATCAAGCAAAAAGTCATAAATAATATAAAAGAATCTTTTCAGATATGATCATCAAAATTTCATATCAAAATATTGTAAATTGGTATCAATTTCAAGTGATTTAACAGGACATGTCATGAAGTCACGGCGCAGTAAACTTTCAACGTCACGGGCATTTTTAAAAATGGGAGCTTTCGTTTTCTCAATACTTTCCCTTAGTATTTGATACTGTATAGTTTGGGTTACCTTATCCACTCAGAATAAACATCCATATACCATTTCCAATTCAGCTTAAAAAGTATAAAACTATTATTGTGTGTTTAGTTTGTGTTAAGCCCCAAAACTGCAGATATTTCTGAAGTAAAGTTTGACGTCAGTCGATCTCAATCACATTCTTAACAGCCCAGATCAGTGTTTTGTCGATGCACTTCTTCCATCCCTCCCGGATTGCCTTTTGACTGAGGTCTAACAGTCTAAAATTCTTTTTTACATTTTGTAGAGATGTGCCGGATATTCCTCTGGTTTACTACATGTTTCATTCGGATTATTTTGGGTGTCTATTTGCGTTTTCCCAGCATGATTCATAATTTGATAACAGTGCGCTGCTCCGTCAAATCACGAGACGTCATTTTTGCAGTTGATTTCGTTGGGGGTCACATCGGAGAAAAATTACAATATTTCTGTTAGTACTTCAAATATTACGCCAGAAATCTAAATGCTTAATAATAAAACAATAAAAAGAAATTTTAGAGAAAATTGTTGAATAATATCGTGAAATATGGAAAATAAATGAATAAAATTTTGGATACCGCATGTTTGTTTTTCAACATTTTTGCCGTGTTCCATATATCACCATCAGCTGTATCAAAACGGCAATAATTTTATTAGAAATTAAATGAAATCAAAAAATTTTACCAAGAATTTATTGGAATTTTAAAGAAATATGTTCCTGTGAAATTTCAATTCTATATGACGTCTATAAAAGTAAATAATAGCAGAGTCCGCGTAATTTTTGAACGGCCCTCGTATAATGGACGTTTGAGCTTGAATACTGTTCGTTATCTCCATATATTTCATCTCTCAGATGATTCGATACGCAAGAGCATGCTCTTCGTATGAACAATTTCTAAAACGAGGTAAGTTATTGACAAACAAGTTGATGAAACAAGAATATCAGCAGTCTCGTTTAAAGTCGTCATTTCGTAAGTTCTATGGTCGATACAATGACCTTGTCAGCAAATACAATTTATCATTGAGTCAAATGCTGACTGACGTTTTTCATACTAATTGTTAGGCCATTATTTACACACTGAATTGTCGACGGATTTTTCCGTTATTACTCGATCATGACAAGGAGCACACGGCGGGTGTGACCGGTGGGCAGGGGATGCTCACTCCTCCATGGCACCTGATCCCACTTCTGATGTTGTAGAGGTCCGTGTTTGCTCTGCTCCAAAATTTGTATTGTTTATTTGTATTTTTTGAGCTTGAATGCTGTTCGTTATCTCCATACATTTCATTTGTATTAAAACACTTGTCAACACTTGACCAAATAACAGGTTGTATATACAAACAAGTTCATTATAACAACCAAAGAATTTGTCAAATGTCTACTTTCAACAATATTTTGATACCTTTTTATCATCAACTTATTTGTCAATTTGTCCTGTTTCGGGTAGAAATTAATCGTAGGTAGAACATACTGTTGTATATTGAATCAACCTAGAGCCATAAATGGTATCTTTCTACATTAATAAGGAAATTTGACGATAGAAAAGTTGAAGACATCACATTTATCACACATTATTAAAAACATGAAACAGATGTGTGTCAGAGAATTGCACTGGAGGAGTTGATGCGAGTGGCATGAGAGAAATTGTTTTGGCTGTTTGTTTAGAGTGTGTATTGGGTTATTGACAGCCACATGTTTGCAAATATCTGCTCTGCATGATGCTCGCTATCTTGTATTGTCTGATGTGTTAATTATCATGCTTTCATTCGAGTTTAAGAGCTCGTTTAGGTTGAGTTAGGCTAAGTTGAATATATTCAAGTACTTGGTCACAGTGTGTTGATTCGATATATTCCACTGCACTTGAAATAAAAGATACTTTTAAATTTGTCAAATGTCTACTTTCAACAATATTTTGATACCTTTTTATCATCAACTTATTTGTCAATTTGTCCTGTTTCGGGTAGAAATTAATCGTAGGTAGAACATACTGTTGTATATTGAATCAACCTAGAGCCATAAACCACATTTATATATGATAATGGTATCTTTCTACATTAATAAGGAAATTTGACGATAGAAAAGTTGAAGACATCACATTTATCACACATTATTAAAAACATGAAACAGATGTGTGTCAGAGAATGTAGTATCTTTTATTTCAAGTGCAGTGGAATATATCGAATCAACACACTGTGACCAAGTACTTGAATATATTCAACTTAGCCTAACTCAACCTAAACGAGCTCTTAAACTCGAATGAAAGCATGATAATTAACACATCAGACAATACAAGATAGCGAGCATCATGCAGAGCAGATATTTGCAAACATGTGGCTGTCAATAACCCAATACACACTCTAAACAAACAGCCAAAACAATTTCTCTCATGCCACTCGCATCAACTCCTCCAGTGCAACATGATATGACTGGTCGCCCCGCCTGCTACCAACGAATATCAATTGCAGTTCTGTCTAAGAGCTGTTTAGAACAACTTGCGCCACAAAATAAGACGAGCTTATATTTATAAACTTGCAATAAACAGAATACTAATTCTCCTTGACAAAATACATTGTCTTACTCATTGACTTACATCCCAAAAACATACAATATCGGATTTAGAGAGCTTTATTAGTGGAACAGAAGCAATGCATGTCCACAACTTCCACCGCCAACAGATAATCCTCAATTCTGGTAATGACTAAGCAACCATATTCATTATCTGAGATTGCATGAAAAACCATGCCCAGATATCTATAAAAATATAATTAGAACTACTTTGGGTTGGACCTCTGACGAGTGGCAGGCCCTGGAACATTCCCTAGCCCGAAACACTGATTCAGGTGTAAGGCCCTCTTCCGTCAGGTCACATGGTGCCGGTGGCAATCACTTTTTACATATTATTTACTTTCTAACATATCTTAAAGCAAGTCCAACATACTTTTATAATGAAATGTATGCTGATAACGAACATGGACTCAAAGTCCATTAAACAATACAAATTTTGGAGCAGAGCAAACACGGACGTTTAAATCATCAGAGGTGGGATCAGGTGCCACTAGGGGTGAGCATTCCCTGCCGATCGGTCACACACGCTGTGTGCTCCTTGTCATGATCGAGTAATAACGGAAAAATCCGTCGACAATTCAGTGTGTAAATAATGGCCTAACAATTAGTATGAAAAACGTCAGTCAGCATTTGACTTAATGATAAATTGTATTTGCTGACAAGGTCATTGTATCGACCATAGAACTTACGAAATGACGACTTTAAACGGGAAATGACCGAAAAATCCGTCGACAATTCAGTATGAAAAACGTCAGTCAGCATTTGACTTAATGATAAATTGTATTTGCTGACAATGCCATTGTATCGAACAAAGTACAAAATGACGACTTTAAACGAGACTGCTGATATTCTTGTTTCATCAACTTGTTTGTTCATGACTTACCTCAAATAATATTTTATATTATTCGTTTATATTTTGAATCAACTCAATCCACTTGTGCAGTAGTTCTAAGCGTTTATACCTAGATTCGATCAGTATTATTTGTCCCTCCAGCCATTTTCCGTAACTTCTCCTGTTCTTTCCGTCCATATAGGTTTTGTTTTCATTTTCCAATTTAATACATCTTCTTTTAATAATGTACAATGTTATGCCAAATGATTTTTAAACATAAAAACCATTGCTGTTTATTTAAGTCTCTTTTGTTCTTTTGTTCGGTTACAATATGAAAATGAATATAACTAATTAAATATAAAAAGTCGTTGATATATCTTCAAATCGAACTGAAGGCAAACACAAGAGACTTCTTCTTTTCATATAGAAGTTTTTAATAAATTCTGATTCATAAAAATACGGAAAAACAATCAGCAAATAATATCTTAAATTTTGCGAATTCCATCTTTGTAGAAGAAGCAGTTGTCTAGATGTCAAAAATCCGAGTCTTTCATTTAAGGAATGCTGAGGATTGCTTGGATAAAATACATCCATGCATACATGAAGCCATTGATTTTGGGGGGAAACGTGATTTCAAATTTTCTTGAAGTTCTTTGGAGTTTTTCAGCATCCACATGAAAAAGTGAAGATAACGAACAGTGACCAATCTCAATAACCCTGTTAACAACACGAATCGTGAACAGGGTAAAGACATGGACCTCCTGAAACACCACAGGTGGGATCAGGTGCCTAGGAGAAGTAAGGATTTTAAGATTATCACCACTTATTAAATACAGTGTATATTTTCACGATACTGCTGGTTTCTCTTTTCTTGCAGTCGATATTTTCGTAAGGAAAAAGGAACATGTTTCGTACAACATTTACTAGATTCTACTAGTCGCCCGCGTGGCGCAGTGGTTAGAGCGTTTGCTATAGAGTAGCGGTGTAAGGAGTTGATCCTTACGTCGCGGGTTCCAATCCACTGCGGGACGTGGAGACCGGTCGTTCGGATGAGACTGTATAAACCGAGGACCCATGTTGCTGGCACGATAAAGGTCCCTCACTATTCAATGGCCCTGAGTGCCGAGTATACGTCAAAATTTGCAGCCCTCCACCTGCAAGTGGTGGCGTCTCCATATCAGTGAAAAATTCTCAAGAGGGACGTTAAACAACAAATAAACAAACAATCAAGATTCTACTATGTATCTTCATTGTAAAGATTTTTATGTTAAGTTTTGGATTTCAGTTTCATATCTACGTTGGTTTCAGTTTCATATCTACGTTGATCCGATATATGTCACTGAACATATAATATAAGACAAATATAATAAAAGACACTACAGTCTGACACATCTGTTTCATATTTGGAATTTTCATAGTGAAAGATATTGGTGGCAAACTGACAACTAAACTTTATGATGACTTCATTTTTTCTATTTTCAACTTTCCTTAAGTATGTAACAATATTCCATATTATGCATATGAAGTTTATTACTCCCAGTTGATTCGATGCGCAAGAACATGAACCAATGTACAATTTCTAAAACGAGGTAGGCTATTGACAAATAAGTTGATGATATAAGGATATCAACGATCGCGTTTAAAGTCATTATTTCGCAAATTCTATGAGAGTTGAACGACGGCTTTCATACAAATTGTTATAGGTCATTATTTTCACTTTGAATTGTCTACGAATTTTGCCATTTATCCAAACATAAAAAAGGGAGTGACTCATCAGTCAGACACTGACTACAAACCTTAAATTTCTGAACTATTTAAATGCTCAGCAATTATTTTTAAAACTCAGATTAAGTATTTTTTAAAAGTTAGTTTAAGGGTCAATTAACAATAATCTATTAAATATATAAAAGAAATCACAAGATAATAACAATACAAGATTATGACACGTAATTTAAAAGCTTTAAAATACTAGCTTTGAAAATTTCTTACAATAACCCAACTCATTAATCATAACTTTTCAACAGGGCTCTAATTGGCAACTAATTTAGTCGCCATGGCGCCTAAAAATTTTGATTGGTGCCTAAAATTTCTCTATAAGTCGCCACATTTGCGATTGACTTAAATTAAATTGGTGATTGTCAATTACTGAACTATAAATATTTTCAATTTTATTTAATAAAGAGCAGAAAAGAAGTTTAAAAGTTACAATGGACATGTCTCCATTTATTGACTAATATCAGTTTTTAAATCAGCGAAAAATTTGCCTGGCGATAAAAAATTTTCGATGGCGACTTACCTTTTTTATTAGGGGCCGTGTCTTTCAAGTGTAAAGAAAGCTCGGTAACTCGTGTTTTGCATAATTCAATTTGATCAATAGTTCATGTACGTTAGTGCAGTGCCAAAACATACACATTTTATTGAGCAGTATATTTCCTTGTAGTATAGTACAAAGAAGCAAAACAAACAAAAAAATATTTTTTAAAAAAAAGTGACGTTGAAAAATAAATACAGAATTAACAAGAATTAAGAGGCGTCTGGTAGATACATGAGCAACTATCACAAAAAAAAAATAGTAAGAAGTGGTAGTATTTTTAAAAATACTTGTGATAGATATGATATTTCATTAGACAAACTTGAACAAATCTTCCATATAGAGGGGACACTGAATATTTGGATTTCTTGCATTATGAAAATTACACCGATTTTTTATCATTAATATTTCTAATTGACAGGAAAAAAACACATCAAAATCATTGAGAAGATAGTATACAAACTGGAGAAAATCATCGTAATTAAAGAATTTAAATCACAATTAATGTTCAGAACATCATTTCCATATTACTGTTAAATCGCATCGGTTTTGGGCGGTTCTGTAGAAGTATTAGATCCTTTCTGCGATTCTGTCTGTCTGCTTTGTCTTCATCATCGTCTTTGTGTTCAATGACGCCAAGGAGTTGACAACACTTGAGACAAAGACATCCTAACACCATAAGACCTGTAAGGGACACCACTGTCACCACCACGTACTCTAAATAGGGAAGCCATTCTGGAAGAAGAAGCTCCGAAGTTTCCTCTGTTGCCAACACTAGTTAAAACATGTAGATCCATTTTAAGACTTACCAAAAGAATAATAACCACACCAAAGCTAAATCAATCTTAAAAAATTAAGTTTCAACTTAATGTCTGAAGAAAACATTGAAAGCGTTTACAATATCCTTGAAGTGTTGCATTTTTTTATTTTATTTTTCGGGCTACTGGACACTATTATTTTCCTTTGCTTCTGGGGATAAATATTTCTTTGACAGGTAGAACTTGGGACAAATCAGTACAAAAAATGCTTTAAATGCCTAACAGGTTGCATAAAATGCCAGTCATGCAACTATTTCAGCTTGAATTTGCAAAATGTATACTTTAAAGAGGACTGCTGGTACCCCTGCAAAATAAATTTATTTGTCAGTAGTAGCCTGCCACGATTTAGAAATTAATTGTACAGAGAGACACTGCTTTTGCCTATTGAATTAATTGGATGAAAATCACAAGATACAAGTGATAATTGTATTTTGTTACATAAATACGGAAATTTGACGATAATAAGGTTGAAGTAGTCCTATTTATCATATAATAAAGTTTAGTGTTAATTTGCCATCAGTGTATTTATCGGGTAAAATAACAAACATGAAACAGTCGTGTCATAATCTATGGTGTCTCTTTAACTCGAGTCAAGTGGGATATATCAAATCAAAATATGAATAAAAATGAATATTGTTAATTGAGAAAACTTCGATCATTTGTCTAAATATTGAATTGAAGACCGAGAAACCTTTTCTTTCCGTTAAGAAATTTTTGAAAGAAATTCTGCTTCATAAAAAAACAAATACAGGTTTGCTAATGAAGGGGTACAATTAGTACCCATGAGAATTCCAACAGATTGTTTGAAGACCTGGTTGCTAAAGACTACATAGACAATCAGAAAATTTCAGCATTTTAATATCTTCTTCTGAATACTTGTTTGAAAAATCAGAATGCTTCTTAAGAAGATGATTTTCTGTATGTCTAATATAACATAATATATCCGAGTGCCATTTCATCGAGAGACAGTTATGTACAACATCAAATATTACCTTTTTCAATTTATTTTACGTAAATGTTGTGTACAGTGTGGAAATATCATGTATTTTGATTTGTCTGGTTTTGAACATGTTTCGTGATTTCAAAGTTTTTTACCTGACAATATCCCGAAACTGAATTATTACACGACTATTTCAAAATTGAATAGATATTTACGTGAATCACAGGTGACCCCAGTGTACCCCTCGTCACAGGTACACACGAAACTGGCCCCGTTGTCGGTACATGTTCCGTGCTTACATGGCTGATCTAGACACGTCACCACATCTACAATTGACAAACGTACTCGTACTAGGGTCTGATCAAAGTTAGCTTGCTGGGTGGGAGTTACCTACAAGTGTAAAGGAATGAAATACTATACTAAGACACTGAAATATTCTGTTCTTTGAACTATTTTTCTGGATAAATTTATACGTGTATTATGAGACTCATATTCAGATATGACCCCATGTTTCTTATTGAGTGAACACCCAGCTGTCTAAACAAAGTGCTATATGGATATCAATGATTTTTTTTAAAGAAGTTATGCTCTAAAACAGAATTTTGTAAGTTCCTGTTAAAAATGCTGATGTTAATTTTGTTCTCTAAATTTTGTTGAAGCTTAATCAGAATCTATTTTAAAAAGTAGAAATATGACCAGAGAAAGATGAACTGCAAGAACTTTTCAGTTTTTGATATTTGCATCAGATAATGAACAAAATGAAATTTTAATCAACAATCATATATTTGAAATCAAGTTGTTTAATAGGTGTTCAAGGACATTGTTAGTTTAGCGATAGCTTTAACCATTGACCAAAACTTAAGTTCTTTATATTAAAGCGACAAAAAAATGACTGGCACACTTTCTGGACAATGCTTTACCACACATGGTCTTCCACTGATTTATTATTGACATATTTTAAATCCTCTTTTATTTTCTCCATTTTATTGAATTCTTTCTTCAGATATTGATTCTTTCACAAATTATTTTTTTCAACCCCTTAAGTATTCTATTCAAGTTATGCAGGGTTTATCATTAATATTCTTTAATATTTTATCATGTCAGCGGTAAGAAACTTTGAATTTCTATGACTTATATTACTAAATTGTTCAAGGATTATTTCCGATGTCCTGAATGTATGAATGCTACATAAATAATGGTTTACTTAGTCATTTCAACGATAAATTCGGACATAAAATTAAATGTTTACCATATGCATGAACTGTCTTTCGATGTAAAAATTGTACAATTTGGAAGTTAATTGGGTTTTTTTATTTTTTTATTATTATTTTTTTTTTTTTTTGGTTTGATTTTGATTTTTTTTTATTTTTATTTATTTATTTATTTATTTATTTATTTATTTATTAGCTTTTATTTTGCTCACACTATAATGTGATCTATATGGATACTTACATCCACATCAAAGTTTTCAACATATATATTCCCATCCTTTATTAAATCTGTTCACAACTTTTTGAGATATGAAGACAACGAACAGTAATGAAGCTCAAAAGTCCATTGAAACGATACAAAATGGGAGCAGAGCAAACACGGACCTCTAAAAACATCAGAGGTGGAATCAGGTGCCATGGAAGAGTAAGCATCCCCTGTCGACCGGTCATATCCGTCGTGTGCTCCCTGTCATGATCGGGCAAACGGAAAATCTGCAGACAACCCCGAGAGAAAACAATGGTCTAACAATTTGTATGAAAAACATCAGTCAACACTCCAATCAACAACAGATCGTAACCGCTGACAAGGTCATTGTTTCATGTGAACAGACGTTCACAAAAAGACCCTACCACACAACCCCTACCAACTCTTTCCTGGCGGAAGTAAAATATCAAAGATTTACGAAAACATAAGAATATTAAGAATATTCCCGGGGGGGGGGGGGGGAGGGATGTTGGGCTGGAAAATGTTTTCGAGTCATATTATTTATTTTCATGTCACTGATGGACAGGGTTTTTTTTTTTTATTTCCAGGATTATCAGGGACAGATTAGTTATTTTCTTCTTCACTGAAAATATGACAACCAATAAAAGAGAAAAAAAGAAAACTGCCATGCCAACTTCCAAACCTCTATTTCCTGGGCCCAACTTCAAAAAATTTTCGTGGTGATGGTGGTGGTTTGGGGGGGGGGGGGGTAGTAGCATTAAACAAGAACAGATTGATAATTGAGGACAGATTTTTTTTATTTTCAACATTTTCGAAGACAGATTATTTATTTTCAAAACCTGCCAGTCCCCTCCCCCTCAAAATCAAATAATCGTCCCCTACCATATTGTAATATTCATCCCCCTGATTTTTGCAATACCGACTATTAAGGATTTGTCCAAGGACCGAGTGATATTTAAATATAAATTTTCTTTAAAATTAACAAATCCATATTCCATCCTTTATTACTGCTTTATAAATGAACTTTTATTTACTTATTTTTTGTTGAAAATTGTTTATCTATTTACTGTATTGACAGCTACTCATAAACATAGACATCAAAAGCAAATAGACTAATTTTGTAGTTAACTAGTATATTATTTTCAGCAATAGCAGAGGCCCTCCCTGCCCAACCATTTTCTTGTTCCTCGCCAAATGACCTCAAAGGCATGCATCTCTTTGAAAGAAAAAATAGATACCTTCACATAAAACATGTATAGTTACTGTGTATATGGTGTTAAAATGAAATTTGTTAATAACGTGACCCATACAAATATTTTTTTGAATCAACAATAATTTTGCATCAATAAATGAATAGGCAGTGTTAAAAAAGAGTTCTATTATCTCAAAGAATCAAATAAAATTATTTTGAAATATAGAGAATACTTGTAATACACGGCAAAATCTGTATCACAACCCATGTCAACCCGAACTCCAATATGAAAATTTCGAAGCGCAGAAACTTTAGGAGACTTTCACATATATTAATACTATGGTGTATGAAATACTCAAAGCGATAGTGTAAGAAATCAAACTTAAACCAAAAAATCATCTTTTTGTTACCATGGCAACAGTAAAAAAAAAAGCTTGCCACTTAGTTATGATGCTAGGAAGGCACTTACCCACGAAGCCGTTACTTTTTAAGTTATATGCATATAGCAGCAAGTCACACATTTCGCAAATGAAACGAAATGAAAATATTATCGCTGATGACTGGTCACTGATACTTGTAAAATTTCATTTTTTTTCACAAGATATATATTTAATAGCACACATATATTTACTTAAAATAATTATGTATTTAAAATAATAGATATTTAATGTAATAAAATTGCAATCTAAATTAATATCATCGACAACAAGAATTTTGTGTAAAAATAACCCTGCATCTGCTTCAAAGAAAAGATCCGAGGTACTCCAAATGAAAAATATAAAAGTACTCCGGTGTAACGACGAAAAGTGACCCCCGTAGAATGTTGACCGGGCGGTCAAATTTCTCCATAGAAAAATGACCCCCCCGGTCAATTTTCTACAGCAAGTAGGGTCATTTTTCGACCGTAGAAAACCCTTCCAGGCCGGTAATTCTACGACTTCACATACGTTGAAAAATGACCCCCATAGAAATCTGACCCCCTACTTTTTCACTATATTTTATAATATAAACCGTTAGAAATGAGGTGTGATATGCGTTAATCCGATGTTGAGGAGGGTCGGTGAAGGCCAAGAGTCTCCTGATATTTTTCTTTCAAATGTATATTGGAGGAGGAGCAAAGTACCTTCACTCCTTAACGCCACTTCTCAATACTAGCATGATATACAATGTACGTGGTATGTTTTTTTTTTTTTTTTTTGCTTGCATCCCATTTAGTATACATTATTGAGCAGCATAAATTCATAATTCATATATATAAATATATATTTAAATCCGTTTTTTTTTTCTTGGTTTTTGGGGGTTTTTTTTCTTACAGGTTTTGTTCCGGAAATGACAGGATATGTTTCTAACAACGATATACCTGTATGGAATGGATGTTATCGGAAAAGGACATACTTCTAGCCCCATACTTCTAGCTTAAAATTTGTGCCAGCTTTCAACCTGCCTCCACCCCAGCATTTACGTGTATCAGTTTCTGGATACACCATTGCATTGAAACAAAAACGTACTGTATTATTATTTTTAGACAAGGAAAAAATTAGAGAAAGCACAGCATATGAAGCGTCCATTATGGAGATGCTATCATTAACTGTAATTACTGCTTCATTTTTAATATCATATAATATCTTTTTCCTTCTTTTAGGTTCATTTATCCTTATTTATTACATGAATATTAACACCCCCGCTTCGAAGGAAATGGGGGTATATACCTTGTACCCTGAGAATCTCTCTGTTGTGTGTGCGGGGTGAGTGTTTGTGTCTGTCTGTCTGTCTGTCCGAAACATTTTTGTTCGTTGCAGTTTTCTCTGCAACAACTCATCGCAGATGCTTGAAATTTTAATACACTCATTGGTTCGGCATGCTATACAGTGATATTCATTTTGGTACAGATCTTGTCCGTCTGTCTGTGCGGGTGGGGTATCACTAGAGAGCACTGGCTCATAGATTTCTTGTTCCCCCTGTAATTTGTGTACTTACAATTATTGTCTGTAGAATTATATTATCTCTATTGTAGGGAAAAAACGAATGTATCTAAATAACGTTAACTATGAAACACTATATATATATTGTTTGTATCAGGATCCCTATATGAAAAACACTGATAGTCTCTAATAAAAAAAAATAGTTTACCAAAGTTAACTTTAGTTTAATTAAGGAATCACTGTCTAGTTAGTAGAGTATGCCAGGGCATCAACGATAGTTGGAAACGTGGGATAATTTGCATAACGGGCGAAGCCCGTTATGCATAAATTATCCCACGTTTCCAACTACTAACTAGACAGTGATTCCTTATATTTCCATTTCATTGTGAAATAAAATTGTAAATTTAGATTTTAAAAATGTAAACTAATAGATTTAAATTACACAAGGCCTCACATGTCAATTTCAATATTCTCTGACGTTAAACACAAAGAAAGCCGCACGAGAATTACATGCATATTAGACCTTCTTGACCTTTCGCTTGGCGAAATTTGTATTCCGGTGGAATGATCAAGAAATCAACTCTCCTAACTTTCAAAGAGATATCACATAGAAAACAAATAGAAATGGAAATATTGCAGTATCAAAGTTTTTACTATAGTAAATCAAAGTATTTTTTTTATATATGATTGTAATATTTTATGTTCTTAGATTTATATGTGCACATTTTTTTTATATTTTAGGGAACTACGAGAGGTGATCAAAAAGTTTGTGAACTATCTCGTTATTTACAAAACCACTGTTCAGATCAAAATGAAATTTGGCAAACATTCAGTCATAAGCATGTTCCATAAATAGCAGATATTTAACCCCAACAAAAAAATACTATAGTAAACTATAGTTAACTATAGTTTACTATAGTTAACTATAGTAAATCAAAGTTCCAAAGTTTTTACTATA